AGAAACAAAGAGAGAAAGAGAAAGGGAGAGAGGAAGAAGGAGAGAGAAAGAGAGATCACGCGGCATGACAGCACGTATATAATAAGACAACGCTGCGTAGAACTCCGTCACGAAGAGCCGCCTATTGTTCCTTTCCGCGTACGCGTCACGAGAAACAAAGGGCAAAACGCGTACCCTCGCTAATAAACAAATGCTTGTCAACCGCCTGAGAGGGCGTCTGCGCGCGACCGGCAATGAGCATTGAATCACGGCCGACGGCGCAATAAGATCCGTCGCAACCACGTAAACGAACTCTTCAACTACCGAGATTGATATTAAGCGCAATGTGCGCGGCGAGTTGAATTAATGTCGCGCGAACGAACGACATCGCGTGATGCATTGTTGCGTAAATCGTGTTACCGAGGTTATGCGAAGTAACACGTCGCTTCTGACACCGTTATCGCATTATGCGTTACTTTTCTACAGTAATCTCTCGATAACGGTATCCTTTTTTTCCTTATTTTGATCAGTAACGGTGATGGCAGTCACACGCAATTAGATTTTTATTATACGGTATAATAAATACCCAAGTAATCATAATAATATTATGGTAAAAGTTGCATAAAAATCTTTATATAATTGTCAATGTTATAGAGACAGTGTACAAATTATTATTTGAGATTTTGGTTTTTTAATCCCGAGTAAGTTTATATTTTATCATTATCTTAAGAACTCGATAAAAGAGATAACAAAAATTAAGACTATTCTTTATTTTTTGATTAACACTAAAAAAAATTATTATATATGATCATATAGTAATATCCAATTTTGTTTAAGTTAATACATCAAATATAATGTTTTATAATGTTTTGTAATCTTTTATGTGATCATATATAAAACCAGAAATATTTAGATATGATTTTATATCACATTTTATGTGATTACAAATATGTTTATTTTTAATTTCTAATTTTTATTTCTAATTTCATATGTTCATAAATATCTTTTTTTTTTAACGATAATTATAACAAATTTTATTCAAAATGAGTAACAGTAATAATAATGAGATCTTTTTAGTGAGTAACACGGTAACGAGTTACTATCTTTCATAAAAAATATACGTACTGAATTTATTATATATTTATTAAGTAAAATATTATTTCACAGATTTTTTTTAAATATGCAGTAATTGAGAGAGAAAGAGAGAGAGAAAGAGGTAGAGAGAAAGAGGGAGAGGGAGGGGGAGAGAGAGGAAGAAAAAGTGGGGGAGAGAGAGAGAAAGTGTTGCTAGCTTTAGTTAAGAATGTTATTATTAACGAATGTACCTTTATAATGGATCGATCTATTACTTCTAGCTTGTTTGTGTGTTATAATTATGTATCCTTAAAGAATCGCTCACTACTTGATGTAATTTATACTGATTTCCACATTTAACTTAGTGAACCAACATTCTCCTTGTATAAACTCTATGCTTTTGAGATTCGTGGAATCCTGTTGAATTAAATTTGGAGTTTTGCAACAAACAGACATCAAGTAGTCAAATATAATACACACACAATATGTTTTATAGAAATATAAAAATTTTATCTGAGGTTTCTCAAAGTTCATATTTTGGACCTTTTTAATATCTTCATTAATAATATATCTGTTTATTTAAATTCAAAGTTTCTATTATATGCCGATGTGGGATTTGAAAATTTTTCATTATATTGATAATATAAATGATTATTTATCATTTGAACAGGACTTTATAAACTTATTGCGAGACATCTTTAACATATTACTAAAAAACGTTTTACACACATCTTAAAAATTTTATAAAAGAATTTCTTAAATTTGTCTATTGTAGCACATTTTTAAGGCACTGTATAATTGTTTACATTACTGACTATAACATTTATTTTTATGCACATTACGCAAGCTTTCCTGTAATAGATATCATAATAATCTTTTAATCTTTGTGAGCATTGTGTACGAAAAATATATCAGTATGTGAAAAAAACTTACGGAATTTGTTAAATTATGAATTTGTTTGATTTTTGTTAGTTTCTTAACGGTCATTAATCTTAACGGCATCGTCATTTCTTTATCGATTTCATGTTCTTTGTATCCCACATTACGAAGAAGTGCATTCAATATATTCACAAAGTTTGCCTTCGTCGAATCGCCTATTGGAAACTTTAAGAAAGCCGGCATATACGAGAAAATGTTAAACATTGGATGCCATACCATGTGTGTAACTAGTCCCGTTATTTAAAAACTTTATAACATCGAAGAAGAGTTGAGATTCTATTTTCCCAGCTGTTATAAAGTAAAATGCATTGTTGACAATCTTTGCTCGATTAAGAATAGGTATGTTAATTAATGAAATTATTGTGATGAATCAAAATCTCTTTTCTTTCATACATATAGTTCCTAGTTCTTAGAAATATGATTTAACTATAGATTTCTGCTCATCCGTCTGCTTAGAGTTAAGGAACAATAACTAGGCTTTGTATTGTAATACTGTAATTATTTTAGAAATTGTACTTTTAAAATTTCATGTTGTACATTTAATTTCACTTAAAATATGAGCTTATGATTTTATCTTCATATTAGAATGGTCTTTTGAAGCGTGTTCAACATCGCTTTTTTAGAGAGAGAGAGAGAGAGAGAGAGAAAGTTAGTTTCTATCTAACTCCAAAGTTTCTGATCTAAGTTTATTATTCTTTAGGGCCGATTTTTCCAAGCTCTTGATAAGTTAATTAACAATTAAATCATAAGGTAAAAATATAATTATATAATGTAAAAGTACTAATTCACGGACATGTACCTAATCCTGAACATTCTTATTGTTTTGGTCTTTAAATATAAATTAAAACTTTTAAAATACAAATTTAAATTTTTAACATAAAATATATGTATACAGGGTGTTCGGAAAGTACCGGGACGCCCGAATATCAGGAAAAATATA